CTATTAAAAGTGATTTGAGTTCTGCCAACTTATTCAGGTTTACAGTGTACTTCATAGATTTGAGTTATAGTAACTAATTAGTACTATTAACTTTATTTACCCAAGTTATCTTAACAATTAGTTATTGAGTTACTTGGAAACAAATCAAATATTTTTTTATGCTTAAATTGTTTGAGTTAATAAACTTAAATGATTTAAGGCAATCGGTTTCCTCAAACGGTTTGAGTTGAACTAACTCATCAGCTTTTACAGTGACACGTACGTACACAAACACACACACTCAGAGACAGAGACACACACACACACACATATATAAGTAAAGCTAAAAGGTAAAGCTTGGTTTGTCTAAGAATTTGTGTGCATTGACTATTTTTGGCAAAGTTGTTCTCAATTCCCTGTTAATGAACTGATCTCAGTGAGTCACACACGATGCAATCGAACTGGTGTGTGTGTTGGTCTATCTGACCGTTGAAGACCCAGAGCTGAAGGTTTGTTCAGCAGGGATGAAGAACTACTGACCCAGAACACTTCTGAGGTCTCAGCACCGGTCCAGTAATACACACACACACACACACACACACACACACACACATGAAGAACCACTGACCCAGAACACTTCCGAGGCCCAGTAACGGTCAGCTGTGAGAGCGAGCCTGACCTTCTTGAGGAGTCAAAAAAAACCTGATAAATAAAAAATGATGCCGGCGTCTTTTTTCACAAGGACATATTTCATCATCTCAGATGATTTTACTGCTCTCTCTCTCTCTCTCTCTCTCTCTCTCTCTCTCTCTCTCTCTCTCTCTCTCCCTCTCTCTCTCTCTCTCTCTCTCACTGCAAGCTGGATGAATAAAACACTATGATGTGATGCCATGAGCCTCGAGGGGGACGTTTAAGGTTACGCGACTCAAAATCGCCCTTCTTTACCTCCACTTAATCACCATCTGTCTATCTCTATGTCTCTCGCCCCCTGGAGGCCGGAGGACCGACCCGCGAGATTATTCCCTTGACCTCTCAGTTATGATTCTTGTCAGTATTAGTTCGGTCTCCTAAAATTACCATTCATGCTTGTGAAAGAAGTCTTTTTTTGTGTTTATTTGATCAAAAATAGTAAATATTGTGAAATATTGTAATAATTGAAAACGGTTGTTTTTATGTGAATATATAGTAAACTAATTTATTCCTGGGATCAAAGCTGCATTTTGAATTTTGATCACATGATCCAAATATGATGATTTGCTGCTTGAACATTTATGATTATGATCGATGTTGAAAACAGTTCATGTTTTTGCAGAAACGGTGACACATTTTATTTTTCAGGATTATGAATGAAATTTGAATGACATTTTTCTTTAATTGAAACAGAATCTTTTGTAACATTATAAATGTATTTATTTACTGTCACCTATTTTGACCTATTTAAACGATGTGGGGCAGGACGAAAAAATGATAAGTGCGTCAGGCTGAAACTAGCAAAACACACTCGCGCCGAGCGTATGATAGGACCCTGTGTCTGTTATTCAAATGAATGTTGAAAGCATGGAAGTTCATACTGAGATCTCTAATATTAATTGCACAATTGTTGAGATTTCTGAAACTATCTGAGTGATATTTACTGCATGTAGCGAAACATCTCTCTGAGGACAGTAATGAGATTTAAGGTAAAGCACGAGGAATCTTGAGAGTCTGATTGATTGCTCACAGGAGAAGCGATTGAGATCTTTCAGTGAAGCGGATCTGAGCGCAGGATCGATCTGTGAGAAACGTTGCGAACGCAGAGACTAGTGTGATAACAATGGAAGCGGATGGAAAGAAAGAAACACAAAGCGAAAGAGGAAGGCGGGCGCTGGGTTATTTTTAATCTGTGAAATGACAGAAGGGCGAGAGGCAACCCATCATCATCAACTCCTACACACACATTCACTCACACACAAGACACTTAAAATGTTTTTAAAAAAAATCAAATGCTTTTTCTTTACTTTATATTCATCAAAAATAAAATGTATTAATTAGCACAAAAATATGAACTGTTTGACATTGATAAATATCAGAAATGATACGGTTCCTGAAGCAGAGAGAAACCTATATAATATTCTATATAATATTATTCTATTCTATATAATAATATTCTATTTCGAATTTCAAATCCCGAAGCAGAGAGAAACCGAAAACACACTCTCTCTGTTCTCTCCGGCTTCATAAAGACACAAGCCTAAGCTCACCTCAGCAAACGAAGTTGCGGTTTACTTTATCAATAAATCATCACTTCATCACTCCGCTTCACGGTTCACTCGACTGTGGCGGTGCGATCCCGCTGTCGTGTTCGAGCGCGGAGTGATGGACGGATCTGAACCCCAGTCAAAAGCAGAGAGCCAGGGTGGGGAAATTACTTCTTTTTTAAGTTACCGGCCATTCAGAACGTTTTAAGAGATATTTCAAGCCTTTATTTGTTATAATTTTGATGATTATGAAAACCCCAAATTCAAAATTAGAGTATTGTGAAAATGTAATCATCAAAATTATAACACACTGTCCTGTGTTGAGAAAAAAGAAAGAAAACCCGACAATGGACACGCTGGAAGAGGACAGTATGGGCTGTCAATCCTCCAAAGAGAACTTGAGGTAAAATATTGTTTTCTTATACATTATATTTTTACGTTATACGTTAGCGCCATCGTCTCTCTTTCGTTTCGCCATTTTTGAAAGTTGTGTACGGAAAAGCTCCTGTGCTCCTATTGGTCAACCTCAAGCATGTGACGGAACCGTCGTGGATGACCGTTAAAAAAATTAAACATGCTAGTCTTTTTGTCGTGATGTCGTGAAGCATTGCAGACGCGACATAGGTTGTCGCCCACTATGACACACTATACGAGATGATACGACCGACGCCCGTTGTCATTTACGAATCCCCCTACGCTATCTCACGACCAATTCGTACGAATTCGACGAATGATTAAAGAGTGTCTAATTCGTACGACCTCGTTTTGTCTAAACCCACGTGATGGGTAGGTTTAGGGGCGGGGTCAGGGGTAGGTCATTCGTACGAATTCATACGAATTGGCCAATTCGTAAAATATGGACGATTTAGCAAAATCGTACTAATTCGTACAAGTGAGGTTTTTAACGAATTAGCCACTTTTTAATCATTCGTCGAATTTCTACGATTTGGTCGTGAGATCGGGTTGAATCCGCACGACACCCTATGACAAACGGATCGTGCCAAAATCGGGCTAAAATCGTGTAATCTGAACCAGGCATTACACAAACTAGTAAATATAATAAGTAACTCGCCAAATTGCAAAATCGTACTAATTCGTACGAGTGAGGTCGTATGAATTGTAATGAATTAGCCACTTTTTAATCATTCGTCAAATTCGTATGATTTGGTTGTGAGATCGGGTTGAATCCCCACGACACCCTATGACAAACGGATCGTGCCAAAATCGGGCAAAAATCGTGTAATCTGAACCAGGCATTACACGAACTAGTAAATATAATAAGTAACTCGCCAAATTGGCTCGTGATTGGACAGCGTTACTCGCCACAGTTGATTGTTTTGGTGAGTGTTAATTCAAATCTTGCTTCTGGCTTTATGCATTATGGAGCTGTGGTTTGTAACAATATGAAGTAAACCCCCAATAATCGTGAAGTAAAATCAATGCAATGCACAGCTTTCCTGGCTCTCGTTTGATGATTTAAAAAAAACAAACACCCTAAAATCGCACAGAATCCTGTTTTGTGTTTCTTTACTGCACGTCAATGACCAATGAATGTCTTTAGAGAAAAGATGAAGTTGTTTATCCAACCACGGCATGAGCAATCCGGTCTGATTGTTTTAAGTGACCATTAAAATCCCCCTTCCCAACACCAGCCTCTCGTCTCCGCAGAACAATCAAAGCCACGAGTCCCACGAGTCGATGAAATCACGGAGAGAGTCGGACACACTCCAGCACATCTGATGAGAAACTTTACTCCAGCTGATCGATGCGCTCTCAGCAAAGCACAGAAGAACCGCTTTACATCCACTATCTGGCAGCATCCACAACAAATTAAACTACATATATATCAAATTTCATTAAGAGATAAAAGTATTTTTTTATTATGCATTTACAGGTGAAACTCCAAACATTTTAATATCGTGCAAAAGTTCATTTATTCAACGTAAAAGGTGAAACTAATATATTATAAAGACTCATTACATGCAAAGTGAGATATTTCGAGCCTTTATTTGTTATTATTTTGATTATTATGGCTTATAGTTTATGAAAATCCCAAATTCAAAATTAGAATAGTGTGAAAAGGTTTTCATATCTGTTATCCATAATCATCAAAATTATAACAAATAAAGGCTTGAAATATCTCACTATGCATGCAGTGAGTCTAAATAATATATTAGTTTCACCTTTTAAGTTGAATTACTGAAATAAATGAACTTTTGCATGATATTCAAATTTTTCGAGTTTCACATATTAAAAATCATATATATATATATATATATAGAGAGAGAGAGAGAGAGAGAGCGAGAGAGAGAGAAAGAGCAGTGAAAGCATATTTTATTTTATTATTATATATATATATATATATATTTATTTATTTATTTATTTATTTTATTATTATATATATATTTTTATTATTATTTATATATATATTTATTATTATTATTTATATATATATATATATATATATATATATATACACAAATATAAAAATGTAAAAAATACATATAATATACGAGTATAAGAAATAAATGAAAAATACAATAAAAATAAAATATACATTAATTGCTAAAACATGTACAGTATGTAATATGCATGTAAAGAATTCAATTAATAAAAAAAATACACATAAAATATAAGTTTAAGCAAATTTTCCAAGCAAAAACGTTCTAAACTGAGAAGTTTATTCTGGAAACAAGGTGATCTTTTCTAAAGCAAAAGGCGAGGTCATGCATTCGATGCATTGAGAAACTGTATATCAGTGATGTGTATTATATTAGTATGTACCTGTGCTTTGAATCGCTGGATCAGCGCTGGCAGAACGGCGTCCTCCTGTCCCGGCTCGGGGGTTTTAATGATGAAGTCCACATCATGACCGAACTCCTTTCCCCTGCAGATTAAACACACAAACGCTCACATAATGACATTATACACTCTTCAACATTCTGTCTGTCCGTGGGAGAGGGTTTGATGTAGATCATATGATGAGAAACACAATAATCGTGTGAGTAACCGTACAGGGACATACGGTTCATTTAATGGCTTTGCCTTTTTCTATTACTCAAATAAGCCGTTTGGCCCTGCGTCATTAAACTGCAGAGCGTCTCGAGTGCCGAGCTGTCGGCCGCTCACCGCTGCGTATGAGATTATGGAAATGAGTCTCCAAAACTCAAAGGCCTCGTAGGCAGCGGATTCAGGTGGGAGGAGGGAGATATTCCAGGATATATCAGGTAAAAAACTCACCGGGGGAATACAACTTTCACAACTGTTCAGTTTAAAAGATAAATAATGGCTTTTCAGTTCATTTTAAAGTGTGAAAGAAAATCATAAAAAGGTAAATTTAGGTGAATAAATCGAAAAGGTAAATGAATCAAACCATTGTTTTGGAAATTAGTGGAAATTAATGAGAAATACACTCTGGGTTGTTTGAACCCAAATTTGGGTAAAATATGGACACACCCAAATGTTGGGTTAAAAATGTAATTTCAAATTTTAACCCAACTTCAACTTTCATTTTCAACTAGGGATGGGCAACGATTAATCACGGTTAATCGCATCCAAAATAAAAGTTTGTGTTTACATAATATATGTGTGTATAATTAATTTGTATATATAAATACCCACACATGCATGTATATATTTAAGAAAAATGTGTTATTAATATATCAAATATTTATATATCATATTAATTGTGAATAAATATATAAGAAATATGTGCATGCATATATTTTATAAATATATACATGTATGTGTGGGTATTTATATATACAAATTAATTATACACACTACACACACATATTATGTAAACACAAACTTTTATTTTGGATGCGATTAATCGCGATTAATCCCTATTTTCAACTGTACATTTTTAACCCAACATTAATTTAACCAAACATTTGGGTTTGTCCATATCTGACCCAAATTCGGGATGAAACAACCTAGCAGTTTTTACAGTGCAACATGACATTTATGAAAAATAAGCTAGGACACACGTTATATTGATTTTTATTTTTTTTTATCCCAACATATTTGCCTCGTGAATAGAGCCGGTGGTGCCGCATTCAAGGACCATCTGAAGCCCTATAAGAGCTAAACACAGTAAATGTTCACTTGAGCCCGAGTCTGAGCACCAGAAAAGCGTATGAATGTGATGTTTCTGGGTTTAATGGCAGAAACGCACAGTACACACACACACACAAGAGGCTCTCAGATCTCATTTCTCTTTTCTTCAGCTCGCAGATGCAGCAGGATTAAAGTATGCCGAGCAAACACAACTTAATGTAACCTAACGCACGCCAGCTGCTTTCACACAAAACCAAAAGCAAAAGAACAGCAATGTTCGTCACAACTTTTTACGAATTTATGCAGCTTGCGAATTATTTAGTGCGGGCGTCGTTTAGAAACGAGGGTTTTACAGCCGGATCCAGTGACCTACAACACACAACACCTGCGGCTCTGTTCCCAAACCTAGTGAGCGGCCTTGCTGTCTACATAGGCAACATCACACATGTCAAGTCAAGGAACTTTCAGATTGTTTTAAAGCAGCTTCACAATAATACAGGTGAAACTCGGAAAATTTGAATATCGTGCAAAAGTTCAGTAATTCAACTTAAAAGGTGAAACTAATATATTATATAGACTCAATACATGCAAAGTGAGATATTTCAAGCCTTTATTTGTTATAATTTTGATGATTGTGGCTTACAGATATGAAAACCTTTTCACAATATTCTAATTTTGAATTTGGGGTTTTCATAATCATCAAAATTACAACAAATAAAGGCTTGAAATATCTCACTTTGCTTGTAATGAGTCTATATAATATATTAGTTTCACCTTTCAAGTTGAATTATTAAAAAAAAATGAACTTTTGCATGATATTCAAATTTTTCGAGTTTCACTTATAAACAGAATAATGATGCAAACTTTAAAAGAGAGACATTTAATGTTGTGCTGTAAAACTGCTTGAAAAATAGTGTAATTTCTCAGTTGATTCAATAACTGTGCAAAGTTCATTATAGATATAAGCAGCTCTACAGAAGATAATGTCATTATTCCACTCAATTCCAGTTTTATTCTCAGAGTGTCAGTGCTGTCACGTCAATAACATTTCTGAATATTGCAGGAAACTCAACACGGATTTTATTTTGCATGTTGCAAAGTTAGGATGGAACTGTAATTAGCAGAAAACACACATAAACAGACTATTTTCATGCTCATAAACGAGTTTTATTAAAGCATGCTTTATGCCGCTCAATGAACACAAATGATCGCATGATTCAGAAATGTGTCGCAACCCAATTCATAATGCAAAAAAGCAGACATTGCCGGAAAATTAAGAAATTTATACTTTTATCCAGTGGCAGTAAAGACATTTATAATGTTACAAAAGATTCTATTTTTATTTATTTTTTAAATCTTTTGAGCTTTCTATTCATTAAAAAATCCTAAGTTTCCACTTTTCAACACTGATAATAATCATAAATGTGTCTTGAGCATCAGATCTTCATACTAGAGTGATTTGTGAAGGATCATGTGACACTGAAGACTGGAGTAATGATGCTGAAAATACAGGAATAAATTACTCTTTACTGTATATTAACATAGAAAACAGCTGATTTACATTCTAATAATATGTAATAATTTTTACAGTATTTTTGATCAAATAAATGCAGCTTTGGTGAGCAGAAGAGACTCTTTCACAAACATTAATCAGATTAGTACTGATCTCAAACAGCAGGATTAATGACTCAGCTATTTGAAGAACAGATGATTTTGAAGATATGTGAGTGTGTTCATGTAAACGGTTTCTTCATGTCTCAGGATCTGCTCCAGAACCGGATCACAGAGCCAGCGTGTCGCCCGTGTTTGATCCAGACCTCAGAAGAAGCAGCTAAACCTTTAAACCGATGGCCCACACACACACACACACACACACACACTCCTCCTGCTTTGATGGAGATCCACAGACCGAAGCCAAGCATCTCACGGTTAAGTTGATACATAAAGGAGAACCGATGAATGAAGCAGCGTCTGATCCTCTGGGAAGTTCATTTAACACGTAATATTCAGCATTATTATTCATCTCAATGCACTGACGCTATTGGATGAAAACTGAACTGAGCTGGATGATGACATCACTCTTTTCTCCAAGAATTGAACTCGTTTAATAATCGATGAACTTCACACAGTTATTGAACCGAACTGAATCAACTCTGTTTTCAATATCTGTATTCTATATAATTGAATTCTGTGCATCATTGAATCATTATTTTCCTGTTTATAAGCTACTTTGAAACAATCTGTTTTGTAAAAAGCACTATTGAAATAAAGCTGGCAAATTATGATTATGACAACAATTTTGGTAGAAATAAATTGTGTGTGTTTAGTGCTTTGATTTTTCTTACTCTTTATTTAGTTCAATTTTTTATCATGTTTGTCATTTATCATGTTTGTCGGAAGTGCTATATATATATATATATATATTTTTTTTTTTTTAAATACTTCAACTTATTTTAAATAGTTGCCAAGGTAACATTTCTAATTTTTGTTTAGGTTTAAGATTTTAAGTTTTTTTTTTCCAACTTGATTTCAGTTATTAGAATGACTTTTAATAATTTTAATAAGAAAAAATGAGTTAATATTATATAAATAATAATAACAACGTCTATAAATTGGACCATGTCACAATTGCATTAATTAATAGAAAATAAAACACAGATAACATGTACAGTATAAGTTACATTTCACATTTACATTCAGAAATAATTTAAAATAAAAATATGGGTAAATAAAACCTTTACAAACATCATAAACACCATGTATTTTAGTTCCTCTCACTCCACAAAGGAATGAAAAACATTATAAAACACGTACCAATTTTAGTGTTATTATTATAAACACCAAGCCTAAACAGATTGATGTCATTTAACCAGCTAAATGAGTATTTCTGTCCAGATTTATCCCTATTCCTCATCAAATATGAACAAACTAAACTGTATCATCAACATTCACAATTGCATTCGCGATCAATAGTGCCAAATTAGCCTCCACTAATACAGTCATTAGCAGCGCTCGCCTTGTAAATACAATCATCCCCGCGCGTCTTGAAGTCTGTCGCGCTATAGCTAATGGCAACACAGTGAATCCGAGTGAAAAGAAGGTCTCGCGGGGTCGTTTTCGAGGAGATTATTGAGTGGGCGAGCAGTGTGACACTGTTCATTTAGAACTCAACAAGCCATGCTAATGTGCTAAAGTTCAGCGGCGGCGTGTGGGAGTCCAGCGCGAGCGGTCCTTCTACACCGAGAAACATGCATACATAAACCGGCTGCCAAACAAACAATATTAGCTTTGACAGGCATATTAGTCCAATGAAGCACACGGAGAAGTGCATAAGGTTAGATTATATTTGGTTAAATGTGTGTATGTGTGCATGTGTTTTGCATTTAAAGAGGACCTATTATGCCCTTTTCAGTCTTGATGTTGCTTTAGGCTCTACTAGAACAGGTTTCATGCAATATTTTCCTCATATTCTCCATTGTTGCGGCTCCTCTTTTCCCAGTCTGTCAGTAACGCTCTGTTCACTTGCTTTCTCTATGAAGCCCCTCCTTCTGAAAAGCACACTGTGCTCTGATTGGTCGGCTGGATCAGTGTGTTGTGATTGGTTGAGCGTTTTGAGTGTGTTTGGGGAAAGTCCCGCCCCTTTCCATAACCGCCAGTTTAATACACTACTAACTAACTCAACCAGGCCCCGCCCCTTTATTCTGCGTATGAATTATTATAATGAGGAATATTGTGGCGTGTTTGTTCCCGGACGAACCTCAAGACTACTATGGAGGCGACACTGATGTAGAGAATTAATGCTCAGAAAAACATAATAGGTCCTCTATT